AGTTCAAAGGTATTTACCTATATTTCCCTAATAAAACTGAACTGAACTGAAACAAGAAGGCTCAATAGAGCGCAATTGGATACGATCGTCGACTAGATACCTTGCCTATATCATCTCCATATAGACCTGATGTAGAGGTGATATAGAGTTGATAACCAGCGGACGACTGTGTCCAATTGGGCACCTTTGGGCCATTTTAATTATCGCGCGCAAACAATCGGTTATTTAAATAAGTTGTTTCGGACCCTAGATTAAACTTTCACCGCTTCTTTGTACCGAGGCACAGGTCCATGTGTCAGATCATCAATTTTCGATTTCGTTTAAGAACTTCAGCTACAATTTTTATCGGTGCATTTTACTAAAAAAACAGCGGACTGACGATGTTGTTTGTGGCCCCACCTAGTCGTAACTTCTATGAAATACATAATTATGTCGTATTGGCAAACAACAGTTTTCGGCCATTCATCATCAGGCCAGTACATGACATGGGGAATAAAAATGGTCAGTTAATTGCAGCGTTTATATAATCGTGAGGTTGGGGAGGGAGGGAGGAAGGAAGGGGGTTAATAGGTGGGTGAGTGTAATTAGGCATCTGGGTTTTCCCTCGTCTCCTGAATGCGGGCGCCCGTGCGGGTAGGACGTTGGTTGCGATGCGCAGAGAAGACAGGGGAATGTTCTCACGGTCAGCAAGTAGAGGTCTGTATTCCAGCCACGTAGCTTGCGCTTGACTGTTCTCTGTGACTTCATTCTGTGTGTCTTCGAACGGCGTGGCTTCAAGAGGTGTGGGATTTCCGCGTGCAGTCGGCCAAGAGAGGCAGATTGCTTGTACCAGCGCCTTTTGACAGCACAGAGTGGGTTTTGCTAACCGGATCGCCACTGCCTCTGCTGTGGTTAACACGCGCTTGCGCAGGCCTTTGGAGTGGTGTGTTGGCGTCCGGTATATGACCCGAAAGGCTCCTCTCGCGTCCACTTGGTGGTTCGTATCAATTAGATGGACGACGATTGAGCTTGAGATCGGTCTATTCTCCCCTTTGCTGAGCCAGGCTGGTATGTGCTCACGTATTGTCTTCTCCAGACGTCGCGTTCTTCGGCCAATATATTCCGCTCCACAGGAACAGGTGAAAAAATAAATGCACATTGATGTGGCCTGAAACGGTAGTCTGTCTTCACCGCCCATTCGTAGAAGGAGAGGGTTAGTGAAGAGAACGCGTAAGCTTGCCGCCAGTAAGGCACTCGTGACTGCTGTCCTCAGGCGTCGTCTTACCAGTTTACTTGCTGCGTCTCCCATAAAAGGCAGTCTTATGAATAGATCTTTCTTTTCTGCCGTTGCAACTGTGGCCCTTGTGACACGCTCCTTGATGTTCCGGAGGATGAACCTTTCTGGATAACCGTTTTCATAGAGTGCGTTTTGCAGATGCTGCAATTCCACTTCAACTGTTTCAGGGGAGCAGATACGGCGTATTCTGGCTGCCATTCCCTGGACTAAGTTCTGCTTGAGGTTAAGGAGAACGAAGCTCTGGAAATTAATGTATTGCCCCGTTCAGGTTTAATTTCTGAATATTCGGAGTTATATTGAACCGTCCTCTTGTCTGTGTAAGAGGACATTGAGGAAAGCGATTTCGTTGTTCGCCTTATTTGTCTTATTTGTCAGGCAAAAGATACTATCCACGCATTGACCATAGAACTTTAGGTCATCGATAGTGTCTTTGAGCTTTGTTTCCTCGAGCTTGCCCATGAAGACATTTGCGAGGAATGGTCCAAATGGTGAGCCCATTGTCACTCCGCCTATTTGCCTGTATAGCTGGCCATTGCAAAGAAACTGTACATTTTGTGTACAGCACGTCAGTAGTT